ATGTAGAGGAAGCCACACCGGGTACAGCGGATGCAGTATACCACATTGGCAGATGTGCAGGTGAACATCTGCTTGATGTGGAAAGTCTTCTTGGGGCCTGGGATGGGGTTGAGGGAGGAGGTATGGGGGCAGGTGTAGCACTTCCTGCGGTTGCAAGGAAAAGTGCCGGGTGTGGTGGAGCTGGAGGGGAGTGTGGAGCGGACAAGGGAGTCACGGAGAGAGTTGTCCCTCCGGAAAGCAGATAAGGGTGGGGAGGGAATCCTCCTTTTTGTTTTACATATCTATTCAAATATCTTTTGATACTTCAAGGTGTAATTAAACTCAGGTTGCCTAATTAATGTATTACTGTTTTATATAGAATTATTGATGTGTGTGTGCTGAGAAGTGTAAATGAAACTTTTCTCGAAATAGAGGTGTATATCCAAACTCTGTACCCCAATTATTCATGTTTTATTTCTGGTGAGCTAATTCTAAATTTTCAAAGCATTAGTGATTATTTTCGAGGGCAAAACACCAATTTATGATTTCAGCATTTGATTAAATATGCAGATAGTAGATGTTGTCTGATTCAAGCCTTCTTAATGGTGTGTGCTGGCAGCCTCCATATCATTCCTATTGCATTCAAGATAATGGTGAGGCTGTCTTGCCCAAGGATATTGGATTAAATCAGATGGCTACTTCTGGAAATAGCTGAGTTGCCCATCCACAAGTTTTGCAAAGCTATTTGCCATTTTTTTGCCATTCAGATGCAAGAAGGGTCAGATTTGTGGCACTTATCCATTAGATCCTACTAAACACAAGGGACATAGCTTTTGGCTTATCCATGACATTTTAACTTCATGATGAATCTTAATTATTACCAAACAACCTCATACTGAAAACATGTTTTTACAAATGATGGAGAATCATTCATTCCAATTTTAGTTCTGGAAAATCCTTTTTTAAAAAAAAAAAATACTTCTGCACTTATTGTCTGTTTCCTATTTCTCTCGATCCCATCTGTCTATCTCCACTCTTTTTTATATTCTTTGAAAATTATTTTGCATTGAATTAAATGCTCTGAAACGTTCACTACCTGTTTTAGACTTTGCATGTCTCGATCAAGAATCTTCAGTCTGTTTGGTTGAGACAAGTCACTTCCTGTCATATTCACACAGGAATTCTGTGGACAAATGTAATGAGAGCAGCAAGTGATGTCCATTTGCTGCTCACGAAAAAATCTGGACCAGGTAAATTTCTTCAGCTAGCAATGAGCAAAGCTATGGGTGATCAATTGGTGTGGAAATAAAAAAAAACAGACACACATTCCTTGTCAGTTCTGGCAGGATGGTTGTCTATTTGAACACCTCTTTAGGAAATATTTGAAATTGTACATTTTGTAGTCCTAATGTGTGAAATAGATTTAAATAAGTTATTTTCTTGCATCTACAGCACCTGTGCTTGCAGATTGTTGCTGCACACACAAATGATTTGGTCCAACAGCTCTAATGTTTTCCAAATCCTGGTATTTCAGTACATGCATTAACGTAATGCAGACTTACTCCTGTCCTGCAGTTTTATTTTAAAAGCAACATATCCTGTGTTATTTTTAATATATAAATTAAAAAATTTTTCCCCATTCTGACTGGAATCTTGCAGTCCCTTGGAAGTCAGTGTGTCATTAAATCACCATGGCTTCTTTTCAAAAGACAAATCCACAATGAATGGGTTCCAAAATAAATGCTTTCAATCAATGTTTCTGTTCCTATAGCTTGCTTTACAAATCCAAAGGAATAATTCAGTCCTGTGCTTCATCACGGATTTGTTCTGTGATTGAAGAATGATTTGACATGTGTGACTCGCAAGGAAGCTGAGTACCCACTGTGCCGAAGACTAGAGCCATCTGTACAGTTAAGTTCTGGTTTAATTACAAAGGTCTTTCTCAAAATTGTGCACAAGATTACTTCTGTTTCCTACCCATAGGCAGAGTGTTCAGTAATTCATGCCTGCCAAACAGATATTTGTGATGTGGAGAACATGTTGTTGTACATGGATTTACAAAGTATTTGTTTGTTTGTTTTTATTTAGCTTTGATCCTGGATCTGGTCCTGGTAGGTATTGTCAAGTCACTGGTCCGCAGGCGTCGGCCTTCACATAACAAGATGGACATGTTTGCTACTTTCTCTGTGGACAGATACTCATTCCCATCGGGCCATGCAACCAGAGCAGCACTGGGAGGTCGATTCTTCCTCAATCACTTGGTTTTAGCCATTCCGCTGCGCATTCTGGTTGTGCTGTGGGTTTGTGTTGTAGGACTGTCACGAGTGATGCTGGGAAGACACAATGTGACTGATGTTGTTTGTGGATTTATGATGGGGTATCTGCAGTATAGCCTGGTGGAGTATATGTGGTTGTCATCCAGTAACCTGCAGACATTTCTGAGATTATGCGGACTTAAATAATTAAGTGTAGAATTTTTTTGTGTAATCTATATCAGTTCCAACTTATGTACTGTGTACCCAACACACTATGTAAATTGATAGGTTTGAAGTGTTTTTACTTGACAATTACTTGATTTTATTTGCTATGACCTTTCAATTTGACACTGTAACTTGTTTTAGCTAATGTTCAAAACCACCAAAACATCGTCTAAGACACTAAAATTGTAATAAGTCAAATCGCAGTGGGATTCACCCACAATTTCCCATTAAGCAGAGCTTCATGTTAGTTAAGACTAAGCACGTATGTAACATGATTTGTTGACAGACACACACTGTCAAAAACAAAACCAAACGAAAACACTTAATGCAGAAAATATGTGACAGATGTCTTTATTTTTCAATTTGTTCCCACCTTACAATGGCCTGCCCCTGTACAGTAAATTGTCGAATGTTAGCTCTGGAAAAACTAATTTTTTTTTTTGCTTAGCATGCTGCCTTCAGAAGACCCTGCCATGTTTGCAGTGCAGTCAAATATGTGTTCTGTATTTGAATGATGTCGTGTAAAATCCTGGAGCATCTCTATAGTCTCTGTGGTTTTATCCACGTTTAAAAATGTCTCCGTTCATGTTCGTTCACTTAGATGGGTGAGACCATTTTGCAGCCATTGCTGCAGACTTTCTAATGGTTTTGTACTGTAGTGTGGCATAATTCTGCCCCAAACAGTTGACATAGTTATACGAGAATTATGAACAAATTCAGTTAATCTGGAGTTACCAGTCCAGAACTTTAGCATATCACGGGTATCCATCCATTGGATTTTCTATTTTGCACTGGAAACAGCTGATAACTGCACCACAGAGTTTTGTGTTATCAGAATGTGACTCATCGTGATTTCACTGGATGTTTTTTTTCCGCTTACTTCTCAATTCTTGCTTATTTGTTTTCTTAGCTAGAAAGAGACTGGTTGAGAAGAGTATTTCCATTCCTTGTCAAGTGTTAAGGTACCGCCAAAGTATAAGACAAATGCTTCTTCCAGGCTTCTGTTTTGGGATCTTTACTACTAGTCCACATGTGCAGATGCTGGTGTTGGACTGGACTGGGGTGGACAAAGTCAAAAGTGACATAACACCAGTTTTTAGTCCAACAGATTTATTTAAAATCATAAGCTTTGAAAGCACTGCTCCTTCAGCAGGTGAAGTGGAGGGAGCTGCACAGGCACAGAACATGTAGGGGGAGAGATAATGGCAAGATAATTCCAGGCCACTAAGAATATCAACAGCTAAGTATGAATAGTGTTGAATAAAGTGTCAACAGCCTGAATAGCAAGTCTTTGCAGGTAATCAAGAGTGTCAACAGATGAATACAAACAGTGTAAATCAAATGTCAGAGAATAGAATAGAATCCCTACAGTGTGGAAACAGGCCCTTGGGCCCAACAAATCCACACCGATCCTCAGAGCACCTACCCAAACCCATCCCCCTATAACCCACCTAATCTACACATCCCTGAACACTACAGGCAATTTAGCATGGCCAATCTGCCTAGCCTGCACATCTTTGGACTGTGGGAGGAAACCGGAGCACCCGGAGGAAACCCACACAGACCCAGGGAGAAAGTGCAAACTCCACACAGACGGTTGTCCGAGGGTGGAATCGAACCCAGGTCCCTGGCACTGTGAGGCAGCAGTGCTAACCACTGTGCCATCGTGCCGCCCCCGTCGACAGCTGAATAACAAGAGAAGGGATGATCTATGAACTGATTAATAAAGACAGAGAAATAATTACAAATAATCGAAAATAAGATGATGCTAGAGACAAACCAAGTGGCTGGAATAATATCAGTAGGTATCAGTCACATAACGAGGATCTAACAAAAATAAAAGTTCTGTGGTACTAGCCCAGATGACATTGAAATTGTGGTCTCCCAGGATATAGATGGGAAATCAGCCACATATTTCAAAACAGTTTTCCTAATGTGTATTCTTCTCCATGGGCAATTGGTCCTAAGTTAATTTGAGATCATATAGAAAGAAACCTCTCGCCAGTTTCAAATTATCACCAAATTTGAACCAGGTCTCGGAGGCAAAACCGGTCTTGGCATACTGTTCTGTCTCATTTCTGCCAGGTGGATTGTATGCTAATTGGGAACTTGATTAAAATGCAGGCCGAGTGTTTTTTTGTAACTCATAAATAGTAAATAAGAAATATTCAATAAACTGCCTTTGTTGCATTATTATACTTTTAAATAGATCCTGGTTATTCCTGTACAGAATTCATTGAGTCCATTAGAAATTTTCATTTTCCCTTTTTAAGTGACGTTCAGATAATGTTGGAAAGCAATATCTTTTTATCGTGGTCAGATGCATGATTTGGTCAGTCGGAAATGTGAACCACTGATTTTTTTTTTTACTCTGACATATCTTGATTATACTTTTACTTTGGTCATTTTTTTTTCTGCAGTTCTAACTGTACCACCCGTGTGCACAAATGCCAATGCAGCAAAGTGCAGAACATCTGTACACCTGATGTGCGTGCAGTTTTTATCTGCTACCTGCATTGTCTTTTTCAGCTATTTGCATCTTTCTTTGTTGACTACAGCTGTTTCTCATCTTTTGTTTGTTCTCTAATCCTGTTTTGCTTTCACTCTGTCAACGGTTTGTCTAATGATAATATTTACTTTATCTCTGTATGTCTGCCCTTCTCTGATCTCTTCTCCCTATCATTCTCTTTCTGTCACCACTAACTCCCCTGCTAAGTCCATGGGCAGCATTTGCCTTGCAGGAACCTCTTGCAAAAATTCAGTTTGAAGCCCCCACTTACTGGACAAGCTGATCACTGGATCCATTTGGGTAAGGCCTTGTGTGCAGTTGCCCGGTCTTGCAGCATCTTCACGGGCTCTCAGTCAAGTGCTCTGTGTTCATCCATCCCCTTTGCACATGTATTCTCTTGGATCATTTTCTCTCACCAACCATCAGGGAACACTGATGGCAAGTGAGGCTGTTGCATTGGACTGCTGTATACAACTTAACTGTTTCTATTATAAGTAGAAAGTGCTATAAAAAGATGGTTAAACAGACACTTCAGCTGAATTGGTTGCATTTACAGCAGGAAATCTGGGATAGTTCCACTTGTGAAAATATAAATCCTAACGTCAATTCACTGCTGGGGCTTTCCCCATTGGTAGACTAATTGATAGAGATGTATTGCTGCTGTGAGGCGGCACCTCCATTATTGTGTCATGACTCGGAGAATGGCAGAAGGCAAACCAAGTGGCCTCTTTAACATTTTTTTCTTTACGTTCTTATTTTTCTTAGAGCCAAGTGAGATGGAGGAAGGAAACATATTGGCTCAGAATTCGTTTTGGGAAAGATTTAAAAAAAAACCACATTTTCATCACAATAAAAGAAACTGTTTTCTAATCAATATGTTCAGCAATTTTATTTCTTACCTCTGGAACAGGTGGGACTTGAATTTAAGCCTCCTGGCTCAAAGATAGGGACATTACCAGTGCACCACAATAGCTTGTTTCATCACAGTAAAGCTTACTGTCTGCAGAATGATTTAATAGCATGGTTTATCCAGTTATGCTTAACCAAACTGTAATACAAATTGGATAAAAGAGTACATTTTTTTGCAACTCCCTTTTTGTTCCTCTTGACTGTTTACTCCCTCACTGCCCCACTACCAAAAACAGAACTATTCCTTTCTGTAAATGAATCCAATTAGTGGTTTGTGTACATATTTGAATTGTTAAAAATATTCTGAGTATTGTCTTTTACCTCTTCCAATAAAGCCTTCCATCCAGTGTCTTTTCCCTGACAGTTACTGACGTGATGTTTTGAATGGGGATTGCTGAACACATCTTGGTGTGCTATAAAAAGATGTTATATGACCAGCAGTTTCAAAGCATCTGTCAGAGCTGTATTAATGACAATATTTGGGTTTTTGTATTTATCCCACAAAATGCATATCTCCTTCCAGAAACATTCACTGAGAACAATTCCCACATGTTGTGACTTCTGTAACATTCCAGAAAACATTTCCCCAAAGTAAGTAGATCCTCAAGTCCTCATTTGTATTTCTGTGTACAAAATAGGTGTGGTGTTTTAAACATGATAGTGTTTGTACAGTTGTCTTTTGTCCATTCAGTGATGTGTTGTATAGTGCTAGTTTGTCTGTTTGAGTGTTGTATGCTGCTTCTGCACAGCTTGTACAGAAATCTCAAAGCATCTAACATGAAACTCAGAGGCAACAGGCAAATTGATTTCTGCAACCCCGCCCCATCACCATTGCAGCTTGCTATGGTACTTCATGTTTTATTGTGGGTTTACAAATTTTCAGTTTACACTTTGCATGTAGTAGATTTATGATTAAGATATTGAAACAGTTGCCTCTTAATTAGCATAGTGTGTTATAAAATTAAATTGTTTCTTTTAAGACACACTAGACCAGTTTTGTTCAGGCCAACTGAGTTTTACATCAAGATTTAATTAAAATATGAATTGCACCAGCAATGTATAAATGTGAAAATGTTCAACAGCCTTCAAATACTTTGAAGTAGAGTCATTGTTCTATCACATTCAAGATAAGATTTTGCATCTTGTACAATGCATTCATTTATAGTGTAAATAAACTATCCTTTTGTATTTATGATCTTCAGTATGGCAGCTAAGGTGTCGATAATAGTTTTTTGAATAATACATTGTGATATTAGAACTGAGCATCTGAGAAGAGTTGTGCATATAACCTAAAAATCCTTCTCTTGCCATAAGAGCTACAGTGTTATAGATCTGATAATTGTGGTGTGGAATTGTATTTCAGTATGTTTGGGTGTGCATTTGTCGTTAATATGCAATATTTATGAATCATGATAAATATGTTTGGGAACATTGCCATGATAAATGTTTGTAACTTTGACAGAACAATATCTCCGTTACAGCTGTATTGTAATGCAGGTTAGTTCAGGCTTTTTTTTAAACAAACTTTCTTTGCATGACAATTGCAATTCTCAGGATTAGAATGCAATTCAAGAGTGATCCCTGCTAACCCAATTAGCAGGAATGTTCTTCAGCAATTTTTTTTACTTGCTACAAATAACTGTATAGTTGCATTTGCTAGTTTTGCAAAAACAATTAATACAGAGAAGCATCAATTCTTCTCACTTCCTAGGGCTGCCATGTTTAATCAGTGCCTGAGAGAGTCAGACTTGACCATTTCAGTTTCGCATATCCGTCAATCTGACCATGCCTCTGAATCAGACACTTTTACATGCTTAGCTTAAGAGTAGATTCTGGAGTATTTTAGACCGTGAACTGAGTAGTTATTTTCTTTGTTTTAACTGGAGCAAGTACCCATATTAGGGCATTATGGCTGCCAGTTCAGAAATACTTCATTTTTGACTTTTTCATAAAGTCAATCACCTTGGTTTGCTCTATTTTCCCCTTCCTCTTTGCTTTTTCAAGGTTTTTTTTTAATTTTAACTTTGATCCTATTCTAGACTTCTCTTACTGTTTTTAAAATACCTCTCAGTTCTCTTTCCCTCCAGCCTGTGACACATTTTGGCCAGTCCCCATTCAAATGCATCCGTCTTTGACCAAATACAGTTCCATGAGCCAACTTTTCAACACGATCAGTTTGGATCACCTCTACAATGGAATTTGTACTTTTGTACTAAATTTTACGCCAAGTAAATCTATTCATTGCAAAATTTCCCATTCCTGATGGGGATTCGGGCAAGCGTTTGGAGGAGGTGGGCAAGAAGGCTAATGTCCTCTCTAACATCCTCTCCTCCTGCTTGATTAGAAAAGATATTGGATGTTATTGACTGAGTCCAATGAAGATCATTTCTGAGTAGAAAGTGCTTTAAAACAAAATGTAATAAATGCAAAAGTGTCACAAAAAGTTGATTGCACTGGAGAATATTTTGTACGATTGTTCTGGATTTGGGAATCACATTATGTGCTTGATTACCATGCAACAAATAGTCTGTCACAAATGTCCATTCACCACTTTTAATTAATAAGCCTTGTCGCAGCAATTTCAGGAGATGCATCTACTTTGAAAAGCTGGCATAGATTACTGTTTCCTTGAAAAATCTGAAGAAATGTTGGAAATATTAATTAAAGATAAAAGGTTTTTCTTGCATTTAAACCCCCGCCAAAAAGAAAATTTAACTTGTTTATTCCTATTCTTCCTAGGTAAACATAATTAATGAGTTTATGCTATCTACAAAAAAGTCTGATACGTTAAAATAAATTGTGTGTAAAATATAAGAAATAACCTGATTACAAATGTGCAGTTTAAATATTTTTGTGCCTCCTAAATAACTTTGTACAATAAAAATCATGTGAACTTTTGTTTATTCTGTTCTGTTTGAGCTTTGCTATTTGAACAAAGCATTCTCAAAGTAATGGTTCTAGCATAAATCTGTTGTATCAACTTATTTCTATAATTTTGTTCTTGCTGTTGCTTCCAACCATAACTCAGTGAACCCACACTGTTCCACATGTAAAATGATTCACAAAGGTGTTTAGTTTGACGACGTCCTGCTGCTGTGATGCTGCCTGGCCTGCTGTGTTCCTCCAGCTCCACTGTGTAGTTTGACAACATACTATCTACAACATTAAAAGCCTCATTTACTATAGAATCACCAGTTAGCCACATATCTGTGAAACATAAAAATAACGCCTTTACATAGTTCATTTGTTAAGATCATTTAAATATTTTGTTTATCACATTAAAAGATTGCTGCATTTATTTGATAGATACAGTGATCGATGGTGATGAGACTTTTCCCAATTGTACACTTTCACAAGTTTGATTCCAGATGGCATGTGTGTTATCCAGTCTCAGTCAGAGTACGACTGAGGATGTTAAGCATTGCCTTCTGTGTCTCTGGACCAGGAAAGTGACATGAGTGCAAATTGTGATTTCTAATCATTATCCCATCACTCCTAGTTTGTATTTTGCCACTAAAGATAGGACAAATATTTACGATAAATGTCTGTTGTGATAGATGACTGGGCGAGAACCCTGTCAATCATGATTGAAAATTGCACAAAATTTGTATTACGTAACTCGCCTCCACTCTCTGCGTTTTACTGGCTAAGTAATGCTGCTTGTATTGGGGGGATTAGCTGTACTTGCAGTTGCAAACAGTGTGTTGAGACTTTTCAATTAGATGTTTGCTGATTAAATAGACTGGTATGCACT